AATAAACACATTTGACAGAATGACATCAGGGCTGTTGCCACATAATGAAAACACAGAAGTAGAAGTAGTGACTCACTGCCTGTTGTTCATGAAATTGGGTAAATCTTGTTCATACATGATTGGAGCGCTATCGAGGTAACCCGTGAGTGCTGGGAGCATAATCAGCTGATTGTTAAGCCATTCAGTGTCACATACACATAGCACAAATCTTGTACCTCTGCACTTTAATGTACTCCTCTGAGTGACAGCTCATCATTAGCCCAGCAGTGTCCTTGGCCTGTTATTAAGACCCCCAGGAGCTGTGCTGCCACCTTGATTTTTATTGCTTAGCTGCAGTGTGAGCCCTCCTGTGTTTTCATTATCTGTCCCCAGGGTTGCTAGATCTCTAACATGTTCAAATACAGCCATGTTCCTCTCTAACACAGGGTGCTTAAACAAACTAAAGGCACTCACTTGCTTTTTAAAACTGTCAGTGGGTTTTTTTTTTTTTCATTTGAGAAAAGGAGCTCTGATGACAAGACAGATGGAAAATGCTGGCATTAAAAAGTGTTTGACTAATCCTCCCAGGAAGAGAGCATTTTCCAAAAAGGAGAATAATGTTTCACAAGCCACCTAATATTACTTCAGAAGAAGGAATATCACAGTATAAAAGGTGGCAACAGGTGTTACTATGATTGAAATAATAGCTGAGCACACTGGCTTTGTTGTTGAAACTTTATGTAAATGTCTTGAGACTTGTACAGTGCAAAGGTTTGCATCCCCTTACTTTGAAATGACAAAGCAAAGAAAGAAAGTTCTTTTTTCTCCTTAGCATAATATTTAACGCACATTCAGCTCCTTGGCATATTCATATAGGAATTGTTCACCTGAACAAGAGGATGTGGACTTGGATTCCAGTTGCCTCTAAGGACTTTGTCAGGTCCCCTGCTGTTTGTTTTGGATTCTCACATAGCACTCAGGAAGGCTTCCTAACACCTGTTTCAGTGTCATTGAAAACTTGTGAATCGATTTGAAGAGGGCTGTAGATGTGTGGTGAGAAAAGAAACTGCCTATAAGGAGATGAACACCATTCCCACAGTCAAACATGGTGGACACTCGCTGATGTTTTCAGGGGTGTGTGTCTGGCACTGGAGCTCTGCATAAAGTGGATGGAAGAATGAACGCAGAAGATTTTAAAGCAAAGCTTCCTACCATCAATCAAAAAGCTAGAAATGAAGAGGCAGTGGATCCTTCAACAAGACAGTGATCCAAAGCACAAAGCAAAGTTAGTGAATGTTTTACCATGGCATTCCCAGGCTCCAGACTTGCATATTGGTGAAAACCTATGGATCGATGTGAAGAGGGCTGTACAACCAAGCAATCTGGTAGACTTAGAACAAGTAAGCCATGAAGAATGGGCTAAAATTACACCTGAACAGATACAAACACTGCTCAGACGGTACCCTAAGATGTTGGAGGAGGTTAGGGAGGGCATACAAAGTATTAGAGAAGATTTTATAAAGGGGGATGCAAACTTTTCATTATTTTACTATAACTTTTTTACCCTCTCTGATAGTTTTTGTTGCTTCTGTAACTCATTTGTGTCTCGTGTATTCCCTCGACACAGCGTAACCTCAGCCTTTCCTTCCTAGCCCTCTCGGACTGTGGGCTCTTCTCATACCACTGTTCGTTACTCATCATTTATTCATCCACTGATGCGGTATTAGTGTTCCTCTTTGGGTTTGTCTGTGAAAGCCAAATTAGCCAACGCTATTGTTAGCAGAAACCCAAGCAACAGACATTCATCTGCAGTCAGTCAGATGATTTAACATCTCAGCTGCTTGGGAAAACCCATGGAATTGACCACAAGACATTAATCTTTAGTACCCGTTGGTAATATGGCCTCACCTTTTTCCTTCAATGTAAGCCACGGCCTGTATGTAGTGAGTTATTGCACCAGACCCATAGAAGAAGAGTCTCTGTATTTGATGCATATAGGTAGAAATCTACTTTATCACTTCACATAAAGATTTCAGTGTTAAGATTTAATGACAGAAGTTTCCATAGGGGAGGTCATGAAAGTATTAATATTATTGTTCCATCACTCTAGGCACCAAACTGAGTTAGCTGAAGGCATCACTTCATCTGTCTTCAGGCAGTTTAGAAAACAAGTCTGGAAGATGACTTTTGTTTAGTGCGTTCATGTCTTTTTGCATAGACTGACATTATGAGAAACCTGAGTTTATGTCCTCTCTCCTGAGGTCAGAGGTCGCCAGCTGCAGTTTAAAAGAAGATTCAGAGGGTCACTGTCCTCTAGACCTGAATGAGCTCTGAAACAGACACACTGGTTCATCTGTTTACACAAAGCAAACTTAAAAAGCCTGGATGACAGGAGGAAGGATTATGCTTGATTATAGCAGTCAGATGAACTTACTTGCTGAGTTAATGCATCAGAGAGACATATTTAGTGATTTGTTTTGCTAAACAACCTGTCTCTACCACGGTCTGAGCAGGTCCGGCATGTGCCTGGACAGAGATGAACGGTCGTGGTTTGACACACTGACACACATCTGACAGAGCAGACCTCTGCCCTGGGCTTGATCAGCACTTATTTCTACTTGTAGCACCCTTTAACCTGCACCAGCTGTGTATACAGACACACATACATTTGCTCTCTGCACCTCGGGGCAGGCTTTGGCCACTGAGCTAGCTCTTCTGACCAGTTGGCCCTCTCTGTTATTGCGGTGTTCTCCAATCAGCACATTCCTCTTTCTCTAGACAGACGCAGGGAGACGATTTTGGCAGTGCGCACACAGGGTGGGGTAACGCTCATATCCTGTCCCCTGACCTCAGATTACACACATACAGTCACTGTACTGTTTTGCTCATGATCGCACTCAAAACACCACATTCTTGCTCTCACAGCATCCAGCTTTTCCTCTGTTCTGAAGCAGCTGTCCCAGTCGCTCTTTCAGCCCAGAGCCCCTGAGTGTCTCTCTGCCCACTGCCAACCACAGAGCCACTGTGGTCGTGCCAGTCCGCGCCTGTTATGCTCCACACCAATACAGGCTCTCCTCTGTTTGTTAATGACCTTTCTGCCGCCATCTTTCCCTCCCTCCCTCCCACCCCAGCACCAGGACTGGGCTTGACAGAACCCTGTCTACAGCCACAGTGATGCTCCACTCCACTACAATCAGTTTGCTGCTGATTGCTGCGCTCGCAGCACTGTCTTGTCAGTGAATGTTTTCCTCTAAATAAACAAACCTGTAGCAAGCCTAAAAGAAGAAAGAAAGAAAGAAAGAGAGATCGTAACACTCGATTTACTGTTGTGTTTTTCAGGGTGGGTGTATCCAAGCATGAACTCAGAGCTGAATGCTGGCCAGTCCATTTGAACTTTTTTGTATACAGAATGACAAAGCACTCTGCGCTCAATCGCACACTCCCTCTCACTCTTAAATTGTCTCTGACTTTGCTTTGCTGGCTTTTTTTTCTCGGCGACTGTTGTGCGCTCCCTCTGCTCCGTCCCTCTACCCCCATTTCTCAGGATTCCACAGCTGGGAAATCTCGAGCTCTCCGCATGGGAAGGATCAGAAATAACGGCCTGTGACTCGCACTCGTAATCTACATATTCGGTCCTAAGGGGAACTTCTTTTCTGATTCTGTTGTTTATCCAGGCATGTGCTACACACCAGTGGATAGTGACCAGAATGTGATAAAGCTTTAAGATACAACACACAGTATCTGAGTCACACATGGGACTCCCCACCCAGTGCCGGCTTATCCAGCATACCTCCCTGCAGTCTGCTGTTGAACTTTAGCTCCCTCTCTCTCTCTTCTCATTTTCTTTCCATTATTGTTTCATGCACACACAAGGCTACATTCCCTCTTGCTTCCGCCATTGACACTCACCATGTATTTCACCCCTCCCTTCACATCTATGCTCACTCTCTCATTTTTCTCCTCATCTCAGAAGGTTGGATGACTGCCTCCTTGTTGTCCCAGCTCAGTGTGGAAAAGGTGTCAGGGGATTGAGGATAAGCAGCCCATTGGCATGTTGCACTTGACATAGCATATGGTGTTATCACTGTACATAGAAGAAGGAGAATAACTTGGAGTGTGTGGGAGATTGAAGCAGTGGGATTGTTTGTGTCTACAAGGAGAGTGTGTGTGTGTTGGATAGGGTGTGTCATGCATGAATGCATGTTTGTTGCACAAGCATACTGTGTGTTTTGGAGCCCCAGTTAAATGAACTTGCTTCTGTTGCTCTTCAAAAAACTCTGGTAAACTGTGGGAGTCCTGCCAGTCCAAGGCCAAAGAGGAAGGGGTGGTGCTGGGTATACAGTGGGAAAAACAGAGGGGGAGGTGGAAGAGATAAATGGTTGAGTTCCATGTGAAACTGGCTCACATGGTTTCCTTTTCGCTCTGCTTGCTGTCACAACTGTTCCCTGATAGCCTTCAGTTTTGCTATTGTTCTCTGCCTGGTATGATTATCTGCTAGTCGCCGTAATCATATTTGGGTTTCATAGCCCGGAGGTGGTTTTTGTGTGCTCATCATGTTTGTTAGCTGGGACTAATGTAACGCTAAACAATGGTGTTATCTCCTTGTCTTGTTGTATATGGACAGAACCATTAACATGTGGACTGCAGGAGATTTAGTTTAAAGAGGATTATTACTATGACCCAACCCCTGCACATATATTAGCTAAAGCAGCGGCTACATGTTTTTGTGTCAGAGAAATGCTGTGTACTTCATCTAGTGTGTGTGTGTGTGTGTGTGTGTGTGTGTGTGTGTGTGTATATACACTGCTCAAAAAAATAAAGGGAACACAAGGGAAAATAAGACATTCAACTCTGTAATGAACAAGGTATTAAATAAGAATATTTCACTCATTCAGATCTAGGATGTCTTATGTTGTGTTCCCTTAGTGTGTATGTGTGTGTGTGTGTGTACGCGCTTGTCTGGTGTTTGTGTGGTAATTCTGACTAACGTAACGGTGGGGTGTCGCTGTCCTCTCTCCTAGGTGACATCACACAGAAGGGATATGAGAAGAAGAGAGCCAAGCTGCTGGCCTCCTACATCCCCCATTTGCCAAGTAAGACCAGCTCTTCTTCTGCTATTTGTTTTTCCTCATTTCCCTTCAAGCCTTCCCTGCGTATTTGTTGTGTTCTCAGCCAGCATTCTTGGTGTTGGTTACTCTGAGATGAGGAAAGTTGCATCAGAAGAACTCATTTGTTTTCAGTATGCTGGAAGTTACATCTCACCTAATAGTTCTTTTCTGTGTGCAAAAAAATGGCTTTGTTTGTTGCTTTCTTTGCTTCTTTTTTTTTTCAGTGTAATAAAAAAGTAACTTCACTGACTGTCCACCCTGACTGTAATTCTCTTTGCCCAAGTTGTCCAAGAGTATATCTGGTTTTCTGTGACACTCTAATGGCAAAAATGGGAACTGCACACATGATAACTAAACATATAGTAACACACATCTAACAACTTCACTATTAAGTGCACCAGTGAAGTAAATACCCAGAATAACAAAACCACTTAATGCGTCAGAGCATGTGAAGTTTTCTTAAACTGGTGCGGTCTTATAGGTAGTCACAGTAGTAGTGCAGTATCAGTGTTTCATAGTGTTACTATGAGCCTTTCATTTCTGTCACATTTCTGTCTGGTTTCTCTCAGTCAGCTGCCTTGCATGAGGGTGTGGTATTTCCTCAGAAAAGTTGCTTCACATTAGCTCTGACTTGAAAACAGAATCCTTTTTAATGTGTCTCTGTAAGCTTATTTCAAAAAGTAGAATGTGCAACTTCCTTTCCTGCTACTTCAGCCTTTGACTTGAGCTACCACATTATATTTTGTGAAGGAACTGCACAAATATAAATCTCATATGGATCATTTCCATATTTAATACTTTAATTTCATTCCCACAGTTTGTGGGACCTGCTTTTTGTCATGTAGTGAGCAGCTTGTTCTGGATTTCAGAGCAGGCACAGGGAAGCTTCATGCAGACTCTGTTGCTCATCCCCCTGGGAGGAAAGGATAGTTGACTAAAGATATATTTGCTTGAATCTAACCTAGTTTCATGTACTCTGTTAACAGCAGAAGATCATCAGTCAAGTACATGCCCTTATTTCACTTCATGTTCAGAGGCTCTTTAGAGCTAGAGGCTAAATTTAGAGTGTCGTACAATATGTATGCCTACATGTAGCTGTAATGACATTATGCAAAGCAGCAGCGCACTCTGTTTGTTTTTGCGACTTTCCCAAACCTCATGTTTGTTTGTTTCCCAGCGTGTGTTTTTACTGACATACAGTACTTGCTTCTGTTTTGTAGATGTGGAGCTGTCTCTGCCAGATGTGCAGCGTTCCCCTGGCCACAGTGCTGACCCCAGCCCAAGTCCTGAGGCCCCGGGCCCCTCCACCTCTTCAGCCTCCAGACACCACCGTGCACACCGCAGTGGAGGGGCCAGGGATGACCGCTACAGATCAGGTACATAACATACTATACATAAAAAACCCACTGTTAAACAAACCATAAATACTGTGCAGCAACAGGAAAACCTGCCTTTTAACATTTTAAATCAAATTTTCCTGCTTTGTGACACTCTGTTTCTTCTCACTGTTTTTGTAGACATCCATACAGAGGCTGTGCAGGCAGCACTGGCCAAGCACAAAGAAGAGAAGATGGCACCACCTATGCCAACCAAGAGACGCTCAGCCTTCGTCCAGTCTCCCATAGACACCTGTACGCCTCCAGGTAAACCAGATTTCTCACACTCAGTGAGCAGCTACCTGTTGTAATGATATTGGGACCTGCTTTTTGATCAGACAGGAGCCTTCACTAATGCTTTACATTAATGTACATACTGCTAAAGTCCCCTGGAACAAGAAACTGTGTTCCTGGCACCTGGCAGTGCAAAATCATATCTTTTTGGCTGAATAATGTAAAAAAAAAAAAAAAAAAAAAAAAAAAAAAAACACCTCAAGAGACTCTAACGAATGGAAACTAAGTCAGAATCAGAAGATTGTTTGCTTCTTTTTCCACCAGACACATCTTCTGCATCAGAGGATGAGGGCTCCCTGCGCAGAAAAGCAGCTCTCAGTGCAGCTATAGCCCAGAGCCTGCAGAGCCCCGATTACTGGATCAACCGTTCCGTCCAAAGCTCCTCCACATCCTCATCTGCTTCCTCCACCCTCTCCCATGGAGAGCCCAAGACCCACCCACTGCCTCAGCCTCCGCCTGCTGCTTCTTTGTTGGCTGATGTACTGGCCCACACACGCATAGGTAAAGTTCACTGATGAATAGCTCCAGTATTAATCTAATAATCTATTAACAGATACAGAAGAGTGATGGCTGGCTGTTGTTCTCCTTTATGCTTTGACATTGTTTCCTGCCCTCCAGAAAACAGTGTCCCTCCAGATGTGACATCCTCCACTCCCCAGGAGAGAGGGTCCAGAGTGGACCTGCCTCCAGCAGTCAAGGGCATGAGTCGTGGACAGAGTCGCTCTAGCATGTTGGACACCGCTGACGGTACACTCACACTCACACAAGCCAGGATGCCTGTAAATGTCTGGTGGTGGTATAAATGTACATCAAGGTGTATGTTTCTCTTAATGGTAGGAGAAAAAAATCACCTTCAGTCATTTTTTCTTTTACTTTAAATGTGTGGAACTAGGTTGTCATCTGATTTTTTTCATCAGATTGGGAGATTAAAATATTTGCATGTTCTAATCATAGCAGTTGAGTTACGTTTCCTGTTTTGCATTGATTGTACAGTGTGACTCGCATCACTGCGATGATGAAGATGATCAGACTGTGCTCAAATCAATAAAGCCCTTATCTATGTTCATCCAGAATCACCTTCAGCATCCTCATTTTACTGTGTGGTGAATGCTGCTAATGACAGATTATTTGTGTTCTTTCTTTTGGGTCCATTAATCCTGTGCGTGTCTTGCCTTTCATTTAAAAAAGGAAAGAGAAAAGGTAATATAAATCGAAACCGGGGAGGGGGAGGGATGCTGAAGAGGCCCAAATGAGCTTGCTTTCTAGCCTGGTGTCTGCCTTTATGCCTTTATGTTTGTCTTGTGTCGTAGGCTTAGACCTAGAGAAACTCCTATATTTGATTTTCCTAAAGATTGTCCAGTCTGTGTCTCTTCAAATCCGAACTTCCCTCTTGAATCCTTCCTACTGCTCATTCCGATCCTGACTGTGTGCTAGTGCATAGGGGTTCTGCCTGTGTGACTGTGGGATAATTTAGAGATTGTTGTAGAGCAGAATTGCATGTGTGGTGGTGTGAGTGTTTTTGGGTTGGTTGTTTGCAAATATTTGTGACAGTGGCCGTTCTTGGTGTTTGTCTAGGTGTTCCCGTCAGCAGCAGGGTGTCTACAAAGATCCAGCAGCTGTTGAACACGCTCAAACGACCCAAAAGACCCCCACTCAGCGAATTCTTCCTTGATGACTCGGAGGAAATTGTAGAAGGTGAGACACGTGTTCTAATTCTTTTTTTTTTTTTTAATCAAAAAAGGTGGACTGAAATAATCACAGGTAAACACGCACGTCCCATATAGTTTGGTAACAATGTGTTGAATGGGTTTCTCCTATACTGGGTGATTGTGGGTAGTAGTTTTATCTTTTTTGTAATGTCAGTGGTGTTGTAGTACTCAAGTTCAAGACTCGTGCCTGGGACTTGAGCATTGACTTGGACTAGGACTCGAGCATTGACTGCATTTGGACTCAGAAGCTGAGGATGAGCACTCTGACTTTTTTGTAATAGGCCAAAATAAATTGGCCTAAGATATTAAAATTAAAATCTTATCACCCGATCCAAGCAAATATGGTGATGCAGTACATTGTTAGAAAGTTTGGAATATAAAATGGTGAGAGCTGGGTCAACAGAACAAAATAGCTCAAATTAACATATCTACTATCTTGCACTAAACCAAACAGGTCAGAGATAAATGTAGCATTGAAATGCTCGTGACTGTTAAATGGCTGATAAAGGCTTATTCATTGCCCACACAAGTTTCTCTGGTCACTCTGTTGGAAATTACCAGCACTCTTTTGGCATATTGGTTACTGTATTCTTCTCACAGTGTTGTTTCAGGGTTTCATCTTTATTTCTAGCTTCTGCTAATCATCTGTTCATCTGTGCCTTTTTTTTGATGTCCAGTCCCCCGGCCGGACCCCAACACCCCAAAGCCTGAGGGACGTCAAATCGTACCCGTGAAGGGGGAGCCCCTCGGAGTGGTCAGTAATTGGCCTCCTGCGCTGCAGGCCGCCCTGGCCCGCTGGGGGGCCACTCAGGCCAAGAGCCCTGCCCTTACTGCCCTGGATATCACTGGCAAACCCCTATATACACTTACATATGGTGAGCAACACCTGGACATGTTAATGTGTTAAACAAGTAAAGTCTTTAGTTGAACTTCTTAGGTTATGAAGCACAGAAATTGCTGTTTGCTTGGTCGTGTTATTGTGCCCACCCCTTGTGAGTTATTTTTTTCCTTTTCAGCTGATTCAGATGAATAAATGTTTTTGGCCTGAGCAGAACAACACCTACAGTACATTTTCTCTAATGTGCTGCAGTGGGTTGTGGTGTCTCTGATTAGTTATACAACATGAATACATAGGAATGCAACAACAAATAATCATTCACTTTTCTTCTTCACAGGGAAGCTATGGAGCCGCAGTCTGAAGCTGGCCTATACTCTGCTGAATAAACTGGGCACCAAGTCAGAGCCCGTCCTACAACCTGGAGATCGGGTAGGAGTCTCTCAGGCATCACTCAGCATGTGCTATGGAAGGGACAAGACAAGGACAATAAATCTTTCTGTTCCATAGGTGGCGTTGGTGTATCCCAACAGTGACCCCGGAATGTTCTGGGTGGCTTTCTATGGCTGCTTATTAGCTGAAGTTATCCCTGTGCCCATAGAGGTGCCACTGTCACGGCAGGTAAAGATGTCAGCATTGTCAAGTGAATTTCTCTGTGGTAATAAATACAATCATTGCTCACATGGCCGCAAAAAAATATGGGTTTATTATACTGTATGTCCAAGATGCTAACAGCTAGTGTATGCATGATTTTTAATTGACACAGTTTTGTGTATTACCCTCTTCCCGTGTGTCACAAGTGTCTTGACCCTTGTTTGTCTCCATAGGATGCAGGTAGCCAGCAAATTGGCTTCCTGTTGGGCAGCTGTAGTGTTAGTTTGGCACTGACCAGTGAGGTGTGTCTCAAAGGGCTGCCGAAGACACCAAACGGAGAGATCATCCAGTTCAAAGGTCAGCCCTGCCAAAAAAAACAAAACAACGCTGCTGATGCTGCTGGCTCAGCAGGACTCACGTTTGTCTCAATTTCCATGGGAGCCATTAGATAGATTCATTTCACTGGCCAATTTAGGGCTGCTGTGTGAGGTGGATGGCTCCATAAGCACTTGTAAAGTATTGGTTGTTCACCTTTGATCTTGAAACCAGGAGGTCACTTGGTGAACATTGTCACTTTAGGGCAGCTCCAATTTAGTAAACATAAACACATGTTCTTTTTGCTTTGTGCTAGCTAAAATGTTTTGTATGTTTCTTTGTGGTGCTGTGAATACTCTATCCAGGATGGCCAAGGATGAAATGGGTAGTGACAGACACCAAGTACCTGACCAAACCATCCAAAGACTGGCAGCCTCACATCCCGACCGCCAACACAGACACGGCCTACATAGAGGTATTTTTCAAATCATTAAGGATTTAGTGATTTATAAGATGAATTTTATTTGCTTCTATTGATTAGAGATAAATTACAGGAAGTTGTGGCTCTTATTTATTATACTTCTGCTTGGTTTATTAATCCTCTGAACCCAGAATTTATTTACTTATTTTGAAATCTTAGTCTCACAGTGTGACTGAGTTGTTCCAATTCATATTTATTATTCTTATTTATATATATTTTTTTTCAGTCTCCTTATATTTCTGCCTTTATGTTTCCTTGTATTTATGCCTTTTTATGCTTTGTAAACCAACTGGGGTAACTGTGATTCAGTGGGTAGAGCAGTCGTCTCCCAACCTGAGGGTTGGAGGTTCGAATTACGGTGCCTACAGTCCACGTGTCGAAGTGTCCTTGGGCAAGACACTGAACCCCCAAAGTTGCCCCTGATGGTTAGAGCCATCAGTTGAGTTGGCGCTGCAGGTGGCTGCCATCGGTATAAACATGTACATGTTATTATACATTTTTATATTTAACCCTCAGACAAGTGCTGTTCATGCACTGTATAAAAGAAATGTATTTAAGATTATTAATATTGGTTTTTGCTTGCTTTTAACTTTGTTGACCTGTGTTGTGTGTGTTTTTGCCACCCCAGTACAAAGCGAGTAAGGAGGGAACAGTGATGGGAGTTGCAGTGTCCAAGATCTCCATGCTGACCCACTGTCAAGCCCTGACCCAGGCCTGTAACTACTGTGAAGGTCAGAGCTCATTGCTTTATGTGAATTATACCTCTCCTACTTCTCCCTCCATGCTCTTATTTTTATTTATATATAGGTATAAATTGTTCATCTTTTACAGAGTTAGCTAATTATTTGGTTGCACATATCTTTGCTGATGTGTTTTTGTATTTTCTGTCTTAGGGGAGACACTGGTCAATGTGTTGGACTGCAAGAAGGATATGGGCTTGTGGCATGGCGTCTTAACGGTGAGATGACATGCAACCATTTGTACTGTATATCCAGACTAGCTGACCTTCTTCATGTTGGTATCAACTCTCTGGGCGGGTTTCACAGGAACTTGAGAAGATACGTATTTTGTATTCTTCATTGATTTTACCATACTTAGAGTATGGCGTTGAAAACTGGGGAAATACATACAAAAGCTCACTTCAACCATTGTATATATTACAAAAAGGAGCGATAAGAATTGTGCATAAGATGGGGTATAGGGATCACACCAATGGAGCTTTCATACAGTCTAAATTGTTAAACTTTTTTGATTTAGTTGGATATAAGACTGCAGTGTTTATGTATAAAGCCAGGAGCAATTTATTACCTGGTGGAATTCAAAAACTATTTAATGAAAGGGAAGGGGGATACAATTTAAGGGGTCAGTTAAATTTAAAAATTCATGCTATACGTACAACCAAAAAAAGATTTTGTATTTCTATAAGTGGGGTAAAACTATGGAATAATTTAAGTGTAGACATAAAAAATAGTGATAGAATTGATGAGTTTAAACATAAGTATAAAGCTTTGTGTCAATCAAGATATATGCAAGAACAGGCTCAATGATTAATTGGAGGAACATTGTGGGTGTGGTGAATTATTTGTGTGGTGGAGAAGATAATTATCTAAGAATGTAATTATATAAGAATGTTAACAATCTGTAAAAAATTTTTTTTAATATATTACTTGCGTGGTGTAGAACAAAATGATCTATGTAGAGATACTGCTTGCAAACCAATGATGGTAAGATGATGTCATGGGGTAGGACTGGATAAGTCTGACTTCTTCCTACTCCATTCAAGCATGTACTAGGTATAAGCAAATTGATATTGGATTAGCATTTGTTGGATATGTGTGAAATTATGTGTGTTGATATATCGACTGTCTTTACATGCTTGAAAGAATAAAATCAATCAATCAATCAATCATGAAGCATGGTATAAACGTAACAATATTGTTTTTTGTTTTGTTTTGTTTTGTTTTTCTTGCAGAGTGTTATGAACAGAATCCACACCATCACAGTGCCATATGCTGTCATGAAAGCCTGTCCCATGTCCTGGGTGCAGAGGGTCCACATTCACAAAGGTTCACCCGATATCTAATCATCTCCCTATGTCCTAAATTTTCATGGTTTTATTATTATAGTGTCTGTGTAATTTTATATATGTAGAACAGAGATTGAAATAAAAAAAATTGGTTATTTTTTAAAGATTTTGTTTTAAATAATGAAAGTAGACACGTAAACATGGCTGCCTACAAGACCACTAAGTGGAATAGTATTGGGAAATGGCAGCAAAAGTCAGAGAGAAACAGTTTAGCAAACATAAAATGTATATATATATATATGTGTGTGTGTGTATGTAATTGTACCCTATAACATGTCCCCCTTATCCTGTCATAGCACGTGTGGCCTTGGTGAAGTGCCGTGACCTCCACTGGGCCATGATGGCTCACAAGGACCAGAAGGACACCAACTTGTCCTCTATACGTATGCTTATTGTGGCTGATGGAGCAAACCCTTGTGAGTCACGTTTCCTGAACAAATATGGCCCTTTTGGAAAGAAGAACTACTCTATATGGTCATTGTAACATGTCTGGTTGGTAATTTTGACTGTTTTTGTAACTTTTTTTTTTATCCACTGTTTATTACCAGGGTCTGTGTCATCATGTGATGCCTTCCTGAATGTGTTCCAGTCTTTTGGTTTGAAGCCTGAGGTCATTTGTCCCTGTGCCACCTCTCCTGAGGCCCTGACTGTGGCCATACGCAGGTATGATATTGTTGTACTCGCACGCTCTTGGAAGAGTTTGGCCTAGAATAGGGGTGGGCAATGATTTTTGAATGTTCGAATTATCATTAAAGTTTTACAAAATCAAACACTTCATGCAACTGTGGTTTTGTTTTTAAAAACAAAGAGCCACTGTTTTCCATTGCTTTTACCGGCACCTGGAAATAAGGTGATAACAAGGTCAGCACAGTCTATTATTTTACTACAGTCCAAATACAAACGGCTGAAACATGCAGAAACTACAGCCATCAAGAAAAATAGTCATGGTAAGACTGGATAAACTGTGTGATGATAGTGCATGTGAGCTGTGCAGTTGTTTGACAAGTGTTGGAAAGGTGTCTCTGACCACGGATGCATGGACAGCACTTGCAACTGAATCGTATGTGACAGTCACCTGCCATCATATAAGTAACTGGAAAATACAGAGTTCTGTTCTTGAGACTGAAGCAATGCTGGAGCGGCTTACTGCTGAAAACCTGGTGAATGTGCTTTCCACCGCTGCGGAACACTGGGGACTTGCAAGTACAATCCTAGCATGACAACATTAGCAATATAGAGCTAGCCAACACAGAGTGGGACACTCAGCAATTTATGCTCTAGAGTATAGAGCATAAATAAGTACATAAAAATATACAATTCAAAATTCAATGAATAAAAACAACTTTTTTTTTGCCCTCTCTTCAGGCCTGGTGCACGAGGAGCTCCACTACCAGCCAGGGCCATCTTGTCCATGGGTGGGCTGAGCCACGGGGTGATCAGGGTTAACACAGAGGACAAGAACTCTGCCCTCACTGTTCAGGATGTGGGCCACATTATGCCTGGAGGTTAACACTGCAGTTGCTTTTAACTAATATATATTAGTTTACAAACATTCTCTGCCAAATGATGTAATGTTAATGTTGTGTCCTGTTTTTGTGTGGCAGCTCTGATGTGCATTGTGAAACCAGACGGACCTCCCCAGCTGTGTAAGACAGATGAGATAGGAGAGATTGTGATCAACTCTCGGGCTGGAGGCACCATGTACTACGGCCTGCCAGGTGTCACCAAGAACACATTTGAGGTATGTCAAAGTTTATAGCCCATCCACATATGGTCTTTTTCATAATAGTGAAGTGGGGTCTAAAAACATTGCGTGGTTAAATAAATATTTGGTAGGAGACAAATGTAGTTGGTTTAAAGGTTTATTTTAACCCTTGAGAGTGAATGTCGAGGGGGACTGTCCAGGGTGTCCCCTGCCTCTTATCAGCTGGTTCAGGCTGAATGTGACTGGAGTGATGCACTAGATGGCGCCATAGAGGTCATGCTATTATTACACTGTATTTACTATATCTGCTCCTTTACTGAAAATAGTGTCATAAGATCATATCCTGCCAGTTATTTTCCTTAATGTGTTTTTATTCAATGCAGTTTTTTTTACTTTTTGCATTTGCTCTTTTTTAGACAATAAATAACACTACCGTCATTAATTAACTACAGTAAGCTTTTAAATGCAGTGTCATTCAGTTCTTTTGGTGCATTGTTAAAATCTTCCATCAGGGTAAGTTTTACCCTACAGTATGTATTTGAATCCAGTCTTTGATATCTCTATTAATGTGTAGGTGATTCCTGTTAACCAAGCTGGAGCACCCATTGGAGAAATTCCCTTCACTCGGACTGGTCTCCTTGGATTTGTAGGACCAGTAAGGCACACACACACACCGAAATAGAGCTAGAAAGTAAACTATATAAAGGGGGGGTGAGACTTGTACTTCCTTGCTGAGTTACATCTCTCTGCTCCACAGGGCAGCTTGGTGTTTGTTGTGGGGAAGATTGAGGGGCTGCTGATGGTGAGCAGGCGACGCCACAACGCTGACGACCTGGTGGCCACTGCACTCGCAGTGGAGCCCGTCAAAACAGTTTACAGGGGGAGGTGAGACACTGACTGCTCCTTGTGAGCCAGTATGAAAATTGTCCTGTGTGGTTATACAATTTCACCCCAAACAATAAGAGTGTGCACAATAATTCACAGGAAACACTGAGGAGGAAAATACCGTAATTTCCGGACTATAAGTCGCACCCACTAAATTTAAGACGACAAAACATTTTGTACATAGCCGCAGGTGTCCACGTTGTAACATGAGATATTTCGACAGCCAGATCGATCGCCTGTAACTTGAAAGCTGCATCATATGCATTTCGTCTTGTGTTGTCCAGGATGAGGGTGTGTGCATGAAGCTACAAAAGTATCGGCTTATAGTCCAGAAAGTACGGTAGCTGTAGTGTATCCCCCATAGCGGATGAATCGCTTTACAGAGTGTCTGCAGGTCTTGAAAAGTCTTAACAATCAGTTCCCTCAGAAACAATCCTTAGGAGTTATTTAAAAATATTTTATTTCTAAATATCCTCAATGTAATTTCTTGCCTTATGTACTGTATGTAGCAGTATTAGTACTGGCACGTGCTGGTAACAAGTGTAACAAAGTAAAAATTGACAAAAAAGGGGATATACTGTACATGTCAAGAAATTCATGTACTTGATAAACAAATATAGGCCTTATTCTTTGTTTTCTTTCACTCTGACTGGTACGACTAAAAATGTATTGCATTGCATTCTCTGTGTTGGTCTACTATGTGTTTGTAATCTCTCTATTGTCATCCATGCAGGATCGCTGTGTTCTCAGTGACGGTGTTTTATGATGAAAGGATAGTGATTGTGGCAGAGCAGAGGCCTGATGCTAGTGAGGAGGACAGCTTCCAGTGGATGAGTCGAGTACTGCAGGTAAATCACAGCTGCTATCACATTTTTTCAGATTTATTTACCTATACTCATTTTAATTACAGTGCCTTGCGAAAGTATTCGGCCCCCTTGAACTTTGTGACCTTTTGCCACATTTCAGGCTTCAAACATAAAGATATATAACTGTAATTTTTTGTGAAGAATCAACAACAAGTGGGACACAATCATGAAGTGGAACGAAATTTATTGGCTATGTCAAACTTTTTTAACAAATAAAAAACTGAAAAATTGGGCGTGCAAAATTATTTAGCCCCCTTAAGTTAATACTTTGTAGCGCCACCTTTTGCTGCGATTACAGCTGTAAGTCGCTTGGGGTATGTCTCTATCAGTTTTGCACATCGAGAGACTGAAATTTTTGCCCATTCCTCCTTGCAAAACAGCTCGAGCTCAGTGAGATTGGATGGAGAGCGTTTGTGAACAGCAGTTTTCAGTTCGTTCCACAGATTCTCGATTGGATTCAGGTCTGGACTTTGACTTGGCCATTCTAACACCTGGATATGTGTATTTGTGAACCATTCCATTGTAGATTTTGCTTTATGTTTTGGATCAGTGTCTTGTTGGAAGACAAATCTCCGCCCCAGTCTCAGGTCTTTTGCAGACTCCATCAGGTTTCCATCCAGAATGGTCCTGTATTTGGCTCCATCCATCTCCCCATCAATTTTAACCATCTCCCCTGCCCCTGCTGAAGAAAAGCAGGCCCAAACCATGATGCTGCCACCACCATGTTTGACAGTGGGAATGGTGTGTTCAGGGTGATGAGCTGTGTTGCTTTTACGCCAAACATAACGTTTTGCATTGTTGCCAAAAAGTTCGATTTTGGTTTCATCTGACCAGAGCACCTTCTTCCACATGTTTGGTGTGTCTCCCAGGTGGCTTGTGGCAAACTTTAAACAACACTTTTTATGGATATCTTTAAGAAATGGCTTTCTTCTTGCCACTCTTCCATAAAGGCCAGATTTGTGCAGTATACGACTGATTGTTGTCCTATGGACAGAGTCTCCCACCTCAGCTGTAGATCTCTGCAGTTCATCCAGAGTGATCATGGGCCTCTTGGCTGCATCTCTGATCAGTCTTCTCCTTGTATGAGCTGAAAGTTTAGAGGGACGGCCAGGTCTTGGTAGATTTGCAGTGGTCTGATACTCCTTCCATTTCAATATTATCGCTTGCACAGTGCTCCTTGGGATGTTTAAAGCTTGGAAAATCTTTTTGTATCCAAATCCAGCTTTAAACTTCTCCACAACAGTATCTCGGACCTGCCTGGTGTGTTCCTTGTTCTTCATGATGCTCTCTGCGCTTTAAACGGACCTCTGAGACTATCACAGTGCAGGTGCATTTATACGGAGACTTGATTACACACAGGTGGATTCTATTTATCATCATTAGTCATTTAGGTCAACATTGGATCATTCAGAGATCCTCACTGAACTTCTGGAGAGAGTTTGCTGCACTGAAAGTAAAGGGGCTGAATAATTTTGCACGCCCAATTTTTCAGTTTTTTATTTGTTAAAAAAGTTTGAAATATCCAATAAATTTCGTTCCACTTCATGATTGTGTCCCACTTGTTGTTGATTCTTCACAAAAAATTACAGTTTTATATCTTTATGTTTGAAGCCTGAAATGTGGCAAAAGGTCGCAAAGTTCAAGGGGGCCGAATACTTTCGCAAGGCACTGTATATCTCAGATCATACCACAGTAACTGCACTTCTACAGTACCTCGTATGTGTTTAGTCATGTTTGACTAGGTTATGTGCATTTCAAAATTGTCATAGAAGAAGTAAAAGTGTCCCAGTCTTGTTCTCAACAAGGTTTACAAACACATACAGCCAGAAAATATTATGATATACAGTCTTACTTCTACAGTCATGAAGCATATTACGTGCTGCTTTTTTTTCCCCCTGCACAGGCCATTGACAGTATCCACCAGGTTGGCCTATACTGCCTTGCACTCGTCCCAGCCAACACCCTCCCAAAGACGCCACTTGGAGGCATTCACATCTGTGAAACCAAGCAGAACTTTTTGGAGGGAAACCTGCACCCCTGTAATATCCTCATGTGCCCACACACCTGTGTTACCAACCTGCCCAAACCACGACAGAAACAACCAGGTCGGTCACCTTAGAGCATATGTACTGACCAGAGTCAGAAACAGTGTCATGTCAGTATGTGCTATTTGACAAATTATTTCTTGTATGTACTCGTGTGTGTGTGTGTGTGTGTGTGTGTGTGTGTGTATACTCGTATAGCCCAGTCATCAGTTTGATAATAAACAGCTCAAACACTGATGGGTTTTGCGGTTTGTAAACACAGTGTTGTGTAGATACCATGACTAATGTTAGTGTTTAAAATCCGTCAACATATATATAACTTATTGTTTCTGACTTGTTCAGTGGATGTCGGTCCAGCTTCTATGCTGGTTGGCAACTTGGTGGCAGGGAAACGCATCGCTCAGGCTACAGGCCGAGAGCTGGCCATGGTGGAGGATCAAGACCTGATCCGAAAGGTACTGAACCCAAACTGCCATACTGTCATCACAGCGACCCTAGAATAGTTATCAGACTTCTAATAACAGATGTGGCATCTTTCAGCATGGTGTCAGGAAAATGGCCCAATGTTTATGAGCGACTTTTTCAACATGTTAATATGTAAGACTTGAAACTATTATCTAAAAGAATATGTCTATGACAATGAGACAAAATTTATACTAAAAGTTTATAGTGTTACTCTTCCTCTTCACTGTTATCTTACACACTGTACTAAATTCATCAGTTCATTCATCTTGTTAATTGATTAATCCTTTAAGTCAAGCAAACATGATGTTCCAAACCATTAATCATTAAATAAACCAAAATAATCAGCATTGTTGCCCTTCACAATTTCAGAGATAAACCTGTTCAAATGAAACTGATGTATACACTGGAAATGCTCTGAATGGATGCTGATGTCTTCCTAAATCTCTGCTGTTGTTCTGCCTTTACTTTTGCTTGGGTTGGGTTGTAGCTCTGTATGTGGCCCAACGTGATGGTAAGGCTCTAGTATGGCCCCCACTCGTCTTTGCTTCTCCTGCTTTTGTCAGTCAGATGTGCTTTTGCCACCAGCAGCAGCTTTGGCCCGATGCACAGAGATGCCTGTCCAGACTGGCTCCTTGGCCAGCAGGGGTCCACACACCTAAAGTAATGTAACACATTAGTGAATGAAGTGAAGTTATGTTCTCCGTGTTCTGTAAAACACTCTCTCTGACACCACCTTTTAAAATTGGTGTTGACCAGCAGCTACTAACTTTAGAAAAATAAAAGCTCAGCAGTAAATTAGGTGACATTTGTGCAGACTTAATTGGTTTTAATGAGGTAATGCACACTTTGAGCAAGCAATTATAAACTCCTGGCATATGTGACAGAAAAAAACCATGTAATTATATACTGTGATGCATTGTACTAGCATCTTGTAAATATTAGTTAGGAACATTTCAGTGTGCACCTCTGCTCGCTGTGTTCACTGTGATGATTCTCTGTGTAGCATGGCTTGATAAGGTCAGGGCAGCTGGTCCGCATGGTGTGATTCACTGTCAACCTGAAGACGACCTGTCTGTCTGAGAGAATGGGTGACACAAAGGATAACTCCAGCCAGATGTTTGAATGTTGAATTTATTTGTGTGCTGCCAAAAGTCCCCTTGGCTTCTGTCTTAAAAGGACTTTGTTTGATTTCGCATCCTGTTCTGTCCTGTGCACTGGCTAGTTCCTCAGCTTATTCACACTAAAAATCAAGAAGCTAATATTGCTTCTGAATTTCACTACAAAAATAGCGAGTTAAGAAATAGTACAGTGAGACACTAATGTGTTGGGGGAACTTCTTTTCTCAGAGCTTTTCAAAGCTGTCATGGCTCTTGTTTTGAAAAGCTCATAGCTTGTCAGTTTTTGACAGTGGCTCCAGTTTGCCTCCTACCAGCCGCAGATGGTCCCAGTTTGACCCTGCACTTGACAAAAAAGTATTCCTTGTAGTGTTGTGTGCTTGTCAGTCTCTATGTGAGGCGTCCGTGTCACAGAATAGCTTTAATGTACTGTAAAGTGTTTTCTGTTTCCTTTCCCCTCGCAATTGAATAAATGTATCTGTTGTTACAGGGAGGACTGTGCAGATTGGGTTGTTGGTTGTTTGATAGCTGACTGTTTACAGGGCAGCTTTCATGTGTTTCTGTCTTCTGATTATTTTTATATGGACTATTATTTGCCACTGATGCAGCTTTGTAGGATTTAGTTTTTTTTGCTGTGGACTAAAAGTGTCCAATCATTTCACATTTGATGTTTATATGGTGATGCATTCTTCTCTGTACCTTTTCAGCACCAGTTCTTGTCTGAAGCCCTGCAGTGGAGAGCCCAGACCGACCCAGACCATGTTCTATATGTGCTGCTCAATGCCAAGGTAGCTAAAACACACACTGAAATCAGTTAACACGCAATGCATCATACGAACATACTGACACAAATAGTGTGCTGTTGTCCTTCTTTTACATTGGAAATGGTCCCACGATGCTAATGGTGATCCATTTTGTTGCTTGTCCATTTTCCTGAACTTCTTCTGTTTTTGCTCTAGGGGGTGGCAGTGTGCACAGCTACATGTGCTCAGCTACACAAGAGAGCAGAGAAGATCACAGCCACCCTAATGGAGAGAGGAGGCCTCAATACAGGAGACAATGTGGTGCTGCTTTATCCGCCAGGTAAATACACACATTCACGCACCCCTTATTTTTCCATTTAGTGTGCAGTGAAAAATACAGCTGTTTATTTTGCCTGTATTTTAATCTACAAGGATCTTGTCTGTTTCTTACTTCTGCAGGTATTGACCTGATAGCTGCCTTCTATGGCTGTCTCTATGCAGGGGTCATCCCTGTGACGGTGAGGCCGCCTCACCCACAGAACCTGGCTGCTACTCTCCCCACTGTTCGCATGATCATCGATGTGAGTGACACCACCAGGACTGCGTCATGAAAATTAAAAAAAGGCTTAATGATTAATGGCTTTTTGATTCTGTTACATAGTGTTTTTTTAATCAAGCTTCACCAGAACATTATAGACAATTATTCAAGTCAGTTAGTAGTACTCAGACAAACTTTGCATTTATTCTATCTCTGAGAGCTCTTTAATGGATCAGAATACCTGAAGCATAAAACAAGCACTTATCCCTAACCATGTTTTTGTTATTTGGTTGAGCTGAGAGTTTTTGAAGAAACAACTTTTACTTCATTACATCTTCAACCATATTTACATTTTCACTGAGCCATAAGGCATCTGTTTGAAACTGACTGCATAAATGATGGACAGGCTGACAGCTCCCAGAAGTGAAGCCACCACAAGGCGATCACCCCCTGGTGGCTGGTTGCAGTATAGGTCATAAATCCTGCCTCCTCTATGTTAGCAGATGGAATATGAGCTACACTAAAAACTCAAAGACATTTTTCTCAGAGGTCATTTCTTTTGTTTTTGGTAGATATTGTCACGCTGATGTATGTACAAGTAGTCATTTTTTGGTACATTTGTTTTGTTAGTTATTTGGTGATATAAAAAGGGGTGTATTTTGAATGATTCGACGGCTTTGATTGGCGGTCCAAATGCTGTCACTCAGCTTCTGGTCGCTACGGCACAGAATCTGGTTGCAACAAAGCAAGCTGATGAATATGGTAGCTGATGGCAGCTACCATATTCACGATGTTTTGGCTTCACTTTTGCATAGTAGAGGGAAGTGGTGACATGACATCCATCATTTATAAAGTCAGTGGTCTGCAAGAAAACATACAATACCCAGAGATGTTTGTTGCCAAACCTTATAACAAAGTTTTAATGTATCAATATTACTTTGCCTTCCAGTGCCAAAATAGTTAGATATCTCAAAAGGAATGTTAACCTTACTTTTGCTTTTTATGCACCACTTGAGTGATTTATTAAAAATAATGAAGTGTCCTTAAAGAGGGAAGTAAATCCCACCCAGACTCAGTGACGTACTTCTGCTGTTGATCATATAACGGCAAATAAAACCGAAATTGTCCCCAGGGATCAGTGTAGTATAACAGCAATTAAATGGCTTTCATTTGAGTAACACCTCAAATGGATGATACTAACTAAAGGTTACTGGTAAAGCATGGTGTTTATGAATGAACTTCTCTATATGCTTGCTGTGTGTTACAGGTGAGCAAAGCAGCCTGCATCCTCACCACTCAGCCTCTCATGAGGATCCTCAGGTCTAGGGAGGCTGCTGCCAGCGTCAACGTCAAGACATGGCCCACAATCATCGACACAGGTGCTGGACTCTGTTGAGATCTGTTAAAATTAGAACAGCTTAGAGGCATCAGGTATGACATGAAGCATGGCTCTACTGGATGCACACACAAAATGTGTTCTCCATTTGGCCACAGGGTGTCCTGTTTGCTCTTTGCTTGACTTTGAAGCCTAATGTAGATGAAAAGCTTCTCTCTGTAGCCCTTAATCCATTCAGCCATTTCTTAAAGGTTGCACATAACCAGAGTGGTACTGCATATAATGGGGGTATGATGAGTTAAGAAAACCTCAGTTACATCTGAAATGATGTTATCTACACACTCAACAAATGCACTGAACAGCGATCAGGTTACAGCTCATTCCCATTAGCAAATGGTAACACAGACAGTGCTACAGTCAGAGCATGTGATTTATTTTGTCCAGTAAAAAAAAAATTACAAAAATCCACTTTGCTCTCCTACCAGATGATCTCCCCAGAAAGCGGCCTCCAAACATCTATAAACCCCCCACTGCTGAGATGCTGGCCTATCTGGACTTCAGTGTGTCTACCACAGGCATGTTGACTGGAGTCAAGGTGAATTACTCTCACAAATCAAATAAATTCAAGTTATTATTTATTATTATCATATTGATCAGTCATGCATATCAGACAGTATACAACAAGAAGCAAACAAGGCTGTTTTCACACACTTCTGCTGTGCTCACCTTAAATCTCAGTTTGCTTGAGTATGATCTTGTGACACAACAGCTAGTTTGAAAGTGGGATATGAAAACTTGAAGCTTCCCGTTCACCTCACAGAGAATGAGATTTTCAGTCAAGCTTTATGAAGGAGGAGTAGATTTTTTTGAGAATTTTGAATGTGATTATTGTCCCTTTGTGTGGAAAAATCATATCAGGCACAACTTATTACTCAAACCAGTGTTATATATAAATATGTCTGAAGAGGATCTTTAAGCTTGATTTATGGTTCTGCATTGGATCTGTGTAGAGCCTGTGCTGTAGGCTACACAGCTACACTGCTGGAACCAAACCAGGCAGAACGAGAGAGCCTGTGCTGTAGGCTACACAGCTAAACTGCTGGAACCAAACCAGGCAGAACAAGGGGGGATTCTTCATGCTTGTCTGGCCACCGAGAGGCATGAATGAGGAAATATGATGCAACCAGTCACAGTTGTTGCAGTTACATTTCTAGAGAGGTGTACAATCGGGCTATTGCGTAGGGTACAAGGCTATGCGTTAAGTGCAGAACCATAAATCAGGCTTTAAGGTGAATACTTTCACAAATCTTGCTAGTGAAGTTGAGGTTCATGAGCTAAACTTACTGTTCATTGTTGAATTTAAACAATTTAAGCCAGTACTGGTCAGCATTCATAGAATGGTTAATTTACATGTTAATTCAGTTAACACATGCTTCAGACACTAGGTGCAGGACATGAGTAGTAGTGTGTATGACTTGTCTGCAGCACAAGGGCTCTCTGTGAATTTGCTCTTACTGTTAAAGTTTGATGACAGACAGTATTTGTTAAGAGTTTATATACATTTGTTGTCAGATGTCTCATGCTGCAGTCAGTAGCCTATGCCGCTCCATTAAGCTGCAGTGTGAGCTCTACTCCTCACGCCAAATAGCCATCTGTCTGGACCCGTACTGTGGCCTGGGCTTTGTCCTGTGGTGCCTCTCCAGGTAACACACACATACACACAATACATAGAATCATATTTCAGTCATTACCTGTAAATGTGGCAGTGTTGCTATAGTGAGTATGTTTTTGGTCCAGTGTTTACTCAGGTCACCAGTCCATCCTCATCCCTCCCCTGGAGCTGGAGAGTTCACTGCCTGTGTGGCTGAGCACGCTTAGTCAGTACAAGATCAGAGACACGTTCTGCTCCTACTCTGTCATGGAGCTGTGCACCAAAGGTCTGGGCAGCCAGACAGAGATGCTGAAGGTCAGACTCACACTCGCACAATCTGCCACATGTGGTTCCCCTTTGAAGTTACTGCTCGCTCGGGTCTGTCATTAGTCTGATAACAAAACAGAGAGAATTTGGTTTTTTACAGGAATTTTAAAAGTATGATGAGAACAATGAAAATAGGCTTTGATTGTTCAGAGCAAATGAGCATAAATACCGTATCTGTGCCAACACCTTTGCATTTTTGTATGTAAGAGGTGTATCAAAGGATATAAAACAACAAATAGAAAAGTGTCAAACTCTACTGTTAGTAAGCATGAATAACCTTTAGCTGTGCGTGTCTCCAGGCGCGGGGCCTGAACCTGTCGTGTGTACGGAGCTGTGTGGTGATAGCAGAGGAACGGCCTCGTCTCGCTCTCACGCAGTCCTTCTCCAAGCTCTTCAAAGACCTCGGCCTGTCGCCACGCGCCGTCAGCACCGCCTTCGGCTCCAGGGTCAACCTGGCCATCTGCCTGCAGGTTGGTTTCATACGGACATGCATGTATTGTCCCATGAGTTCACTCTGTATATTTTTACTTTCCCTAATTCAACTCTTTCTTGCGTCTTGCGTATTCTTCCCCAGTCTACACTTTTAGTCCTTTAGCCATAACTGTTTACCCACCAACCAGTTATTTGTGTAGCTTTTTTCCTTATCACATGCATTTTTCTTTACCCTGCAGTGACACTTTTTCACGCCAACCTTAAGTGTGATAAAAGTCTAACCTGACCTGGTCAAAAAGCTTCAGTAGCAGTCAGATTTCTCACATTTTAGGTTGCTCATTTTCCTCTCTGTCCTCAGGGCACTGCTGGACCAGACCCCTCCACTGTCTATGTTGACATGAAGTCACTGCGTCATGACAGGTCAGAATGGAGAGCCTTGTAACCTGTACAAAGGCAACTACACTAGTCACAAGATGCAAACTGGTGAAAATAATCACAGTAGATCAGTTAGATCAGACTGAATGACTGAAAGGCCGTCTTTTGTCTGTGTCCCTCAGGGTGAGGCTCGTAGAGCGAGGAGCGCCACAGAGTCTTCCACTCACAGAGTCTGGCACTGTAAGTACAGATTATTGGCTAGTAAAACTCATTTGTGTCATGGTCACACTGACCACAGACCTAGACAGGTAAGCTAAGAAGTTGTATTATTCCTAAGTTTCTTTCTGTTCCCCTCTAAGATCCTGCCTGGAGTGAGGGTCATAATAGTCAACCCAGAGACCAGAGGCCCACTGGGAGATTCGCATCTTGGGGAGGTGAGTGGGCAGAGAGGATCATGGGATAATGATATCAACACATTTTCTCTCCACAAGCATTTTGACTGCTTTCACTGGCACAGTCAGATAATCTCAGCAAACTGTGGCAAAGGGGCACGCTAGCTGATTCGTTTCAAAAGGAAACTCGCTTAGCTCAGAGTTTAGGAGTCACATAAACACAGTTAGCACTCATTGGCCTTTCTGTCTCTGTTTAGATCTGGGTGAGTAGCCCTCATAGTGCCAGTGGCTACTACACTATCTATGGGGAGGAGAGCCTGCAGGCGGATCATTTCAACACCAGACTCAGTTTTGGGGAGCCCCACACCCTGTGGGCCAGGACGGGCTATCTGGGCTTCATCAAGAGAACTGAGCTGCTGGATGCAAGCGGAGGTGAGGGAACATGTCACATAAGTTGATGTCATTCAGTGCCTTTCTTCCTTTTCTGTTTCATAACATTAGAATTGTAACTTAAGAGAAGTAATTTTTTTTTTGAGTCTAGGTGTAAAATCCTTTATCGTGATTTATGTGATTTTTATATTGTGACACTGATATATGTTGTGACAAAGTAATGTTTCTGAAAAATCTATTTAGAAATTGTCAATAGACAACTGGTAAAATGCAACCAGACCTATTGAATATTATTTGAGGCCCTAATTTAAAAAAATCAAAGCCTTTCATTCTTTTCTACAACAGATCGTCATGATGCCTTGTTTGTGGTGGGCTCCCTTGATGAAACGTTGGAATTGAGGGGGTTACGCTATCACCCCATCGATATTGAGACGTCTGTGTCCCGAGCCCACCGCAGCATCGCAGAGAGGTGAGATTCAACCAGTGTGTGTCCTCAAGTAGCACTGATTATGTGCATAATATATAGTTGTCGTTCCATGCTTTTATATTTACTGAACAAAGCTACAGTAACAGTAATGTAACTGAATTCTGTCTGTACTCAACACACTCTTCAGTGCTGTGTTTACATGGACCAACCTGCTGGTGGTGGTAGCAGAGCTGAGTGGCTCAGAGCAGGAGGCCTTGGATCTGGTGCCCCTCGTCACCAACGTGGTCCTGGAGGAGCACCACCTCATCGTCGGGGTGGTGGTCATCGTGGACCCCGGGGTGATACCCATCAACTCAAGAGGAGAGAAGCAGAGAATGCACTTGCGAGATTCCTTCCTGGCAGACCAACTGGACCCCATCTACGTGGCCTACAACATGTGAACACCCTTCGCCAACTGATGCAGAAACCTGAGCCAGGCTTTGAGAACAGACATGAGGGAGAAGGACTTGGGTTGCAATCAGTAGCAGCCCCAATGTTAAACCTCAAACACACATTCAAAACACCAAACAATGGGAATGCGAGTGCAGTACGAATACTGTGATGAAACGTGCTTCCCCTCTCAGAAGCTGTACCTTCCTTGCTTCCACCTTTCCAATCGCTGCCGTCCAGGTTCACTGAGATTTGTACTGAGAAGGGGATCTCCCTCAGTAGTAGACAAATCTGTCAGCTGGAGGAAATCTGACCTTCCTTCCTGTGCATCCCACTTCTCCCTCATAGCTCCGATTCATGTTTTTTTTTAATGAATCGGACATATTAGACATTTTAATTCCATGCTCCTCCCCTTCCATTCTTTGCTTTTTATCATGAACATCCATCGATGTGTGTGTGTATGTGTCTTTTTTTTTAATTTTATTTTATTTTTTATACTCCCTCTTTTTGCAAAGGCAGGATGATGCATCGGAACTGCTGAGAGGAGCTGGAACTTTCCCTCATTGCACTTTAAGTCCTTGCACCTCAGAGTCTACTTCCTGCCTCACCTGCCTCAAGGGGACACCCCCCCTCCCCCATGTCTGCTGCTGTCACAAGAGCAAATCCACTTCAGTATTAAAAAAAATGCCACCAGCAAGTGCAGCCCACAGGGGGGAGCTGACATGTTACCGTGCTACCAGGTGTACGTGGCCCTTGCTTCCCTTGCACATACTGTATTTGACAGCAGACATAAGTGTCGGAGTTCACATGTTAAAAAACGTCCTAAAAAATACACTTGAATTACTTGTTGGTGTGGCAAAAGAAAGACTCACTTAATAAACATACAAACTTGGATAGTGAAGATGAAGCAGACTTAGTTTTCGGTGTGAGTAGGAGTCGGTCCGTTAGATTGTTCTTATGATTGTGATAGTACTAATAGTAAAAGGACCAGTTTTCAAAAGAAGCAGGTTTTTAGGTGTGCATGCTGAGTGGAAGTGCAGGCAGTGTCAACATACAGGCCAATATAACAAAAACAAGGCCAGGAATCAGTCAGCAGCGGATTAGCTGAATATTCAGTTTGAACCTCTCGTGTGTTACTGTACCTTTCCATTCGATTCGCACCTGTTTGATTTTCCAAACACACATGCTGTTCTGAAGGTATTTCCAGACTTCCTAAAGATTATTCTAACCATCTGTTTGGGTGAATACTCCCATCTGTTGCACAACGAAGATCACTTTCCCCAACTGGGATTATTTCTCCTAATAGTAAAAAAGTAAAATATTAACATGGAATTTTGTATGAAAATATCAAATACTGAAAAGACATTTAATAGTGTAACTGAGTTTGGGTTAGGTAACTGAATAAGGATGTGTCATTTCTGGCCACCACCTTTTCTGAACCAATTAATAGAGCCACAATATTTATCAAATTAAATACATTTTTATCATGTACCACACTAAATATTTTTTTTGGTGATTTAATTAGAAGAGTCATTTAAGGTTCTTGAAAATACCATCAGAGCTGCAGCAAATGTTATTAAAAGGTCTTCTGGCTTTTTCAAAGGTTGTTGAGTATTTAGTTTTTGGGAATTTTGTTGCTATAATGCAGTGCTAACACATGAGGTGGAATGTGGTGCCGGTCAGGGTTCAGATGTTTAAGCCTGACAGTTCATTCTTGACTTTGGAAATAAAAAAACCTCAAGGTCAACCTACTTGCCTGTTTAAGAGCTTTTGACCTTAGCACACAGTCTCATCAAAACTCTGAAATTCCAGAATAAAGGAAAGTTTGAACATCAGCTCAGTGACGGCCAAGCAGGCTGCCTGCTGGTGACTGTGAAGGAGCTATTCGAAGTAAGCTGACCTTGTTAGGGCTGGAAGAGATTCACTGGCTTGTGTAGAAGTGCACTGCTAGCTCTCAGCAAAGGACATCGTTGTTTAGTATTAGAGTCACACCTGATTAGATAAATGTAGATCATCAGAAGGCATGTCAGTGCCTTTTTATTGCACAGTTGTCACATTTATTATTATGGACTGTTGAATTTCTAAAAAAAAATAAACTATCAAAATGAGAACAGAACTTTGCCTTACTAAACCTGTGGAGCTTCAGCGCTTTTTATTTTTAATGGCTCATTTCTGGCTGTAACGTTAGCTTATTTAATGAACTGTTCCACAGTTTTCACATGTGAAACCAATTTATGACTAAAAGTACTTTATTTTTCAGGAGGGGGGTGTCTTTTGTGTTTCTCATTTCATCATTACCATTTAAACCAATTCTGTGTGAATGTCTGTAACACTGAAAAAAAAATTAGGAAGGAACAACAATCGATAAGTGGCCAGTGATTTAAAACTGGTAGAATCCTCCTTTAAAAGAAAATGGGAGGTGATAAATGAGGGTATGGATGTGTTGTCTGTATACTGTATTTTAGAGGTCAGATACTGTATTACTGGTGTTAACATGTACATGGAAGTGAACTTTGTCGATACAAATGACTGATTTTTCATACTTGACGGAATTTTTCTTCATTGTTAATTTAAAGGTTTCACATTGCAAAGCAGCAGGAAAAATGTTTCATATTTTTTGGGAGGAACGATGTGCACTTTCCCCAATCTCATTTTATGTCTGTGCGTGTCCATGAGGGAGTGTGTGTGTCTGTGTGTGTTAGTCCACTTTGGCTCTTCTGGTGCAACAAGGTTGGGCTTTTTCTAAGAAAACATCCCACAATATCAAACCCTTTTTCAAAAATGTCTTCTTTTTTATGTCGCCTCCACTGTATTTTAATTCTTTCCATCCAAAATTGGAATTTAATATATTTTGTAGAAGTTTCATCGATATTTTTCTGATATAATCTTTCTTTAAAACTGCACAACTTCTGCAAACAGATGGATTGAGGTAGAAACAGCATGACGCAGTACAACACATCAATAAAAATACTCTTCCCTCAGTGAGAGGCACTGACGACACGTGAGACAATATCTGAGGCAAGTTAGTTACTCATGAATAACAAAGTGAAGCTTTTGAGCTATTATGTGATAATTGCTTTGTTGCTACTGTTTTACTTTGGCAAGTTTTAATAAAGTTTTATAATTTCACGCTGGCCTTCAAGCTTTTTCAATAGACATTGGTGCTATTCACTAAGGAAAAGTTTTGACCTCCAATGTCATTACGTAGAAGGTTTCTTCCTGGATGCCCTTGTTGTGTGAAAATAACTCGTTCTTTTTCCATGTCACCATTTTCATGCCATGTTTTCACTCACTGCTCAGTTACAGAATTGTTCATTGTCACCCATTCTCATCAGCTCTGAGATCTGATGCAAAGTCTCAACAGAACTCCACAACAACAATGCAAATCGACGTTTTCCATTTGAATGTTAATTTCGGTTGTTCAAGCTGTCCTGTTGTGAGGACCGGCGTACATTTCACACATCCAGAGTTATTCTAAGCACAAAATGTACATGTGAGGTAATGAAATTGAGATCTTTCACACAAAAAACTCAAGGGCCCACAGTGTATACCTCAGCGACTGTCTGTTCACTATGCATCATCGAGCTGCAGCAGAGACATTCTGAATTAGTCAATGGTGCGATAACCTCTAACATGTCTTACTTGATAAAAGCACTATCACACTGTCACTTGATGTGTTTCATGTCAAATAAAAACAAATGCTTTGTCAGAGTTTCTTGTGCTATTTTTTCGTGTGTCTGGAAGCTTTGGATGGGAAAAATATCATCCTCCTCCAAGCAAGTGTGTGAAACCTGCTGTTTCAAAGTTTTTATAAATATTCACAAATGTAACTTTAATGAATTTTACTCAAACTGCTCAGCTTATATTTTAAGAAACAATTCAAATATTTTTTTATTATTTGCTGACCAGTCTCAATGTCCCACAGAGCACTGAAAGAAAGCAGAACAAACACTATTAATATACAAAACTATATGCAGAGTGCTTTGGAATTCCAAAGTGCCATTCAAGGAGAGTGATTGGCAACTGATAACACGATGCTGGTGGCTGTAAGAAGTCAATATAATCTGTATTTAAAGTGCAGCTTACTAGGTGACAGCATGGGCTGGGAATTCCAATACTAATTTGATACAGCTAGCATGTTTCCATACTGACAACCATTCAGCAGGACAAAGCCAAGAGAGAATGAGAAAGAAAGCCTCCTCAGAGGCACAAGAGAACTGAACAGAAGGTAAAGATACTGTGTGAGCTGAACGCAAGTTAAAAATTGTGATCCTTCTCAAAGTTCTCAAACCCCATCACATTGTAATACAGACATATGAAACACACATTGATCTCATTCAGTGTCAATTACACGTCCTGAGGATATCATTATTTGCCTAGAAATCACAAAAAAAGACACCTCAGAACCTGCTTGAGAATAAGTTTTCTTGAGTGTCAAAGTAATCCTGTGACAAGTGTCTGTACAACCACAGGTGTACTGCCAATAGGAGTTACTAACAGCTAATTCAGCATACTTTAAATGATGCCAATTTGACGTGGAGGATTTATGAAGTCTTCATTTCAATCTCATGATTTTCCTTTCTCACAGTTGTTCCAGTTAAGCTTATACAGTATGTTGGCATTACCATGATTCCATCAGATTAGCAAAAATATTTTTGACTTAAAGTACAAGGACAAGCAGCTCTTTCTACACTCACTTTAAAATACAAGAACCTTGTTGTGGCTGAATTCACATTACAAGGAGACCAGCAAACTCGCTGAAAAATAATAGGCAACTACTGCAAGTATTTCTGGGGAGGGTATGAAAAAGTATTTACATACATGCTTTAGAATTAATTAAAATCACTGAACAGGGAATGAAATTTTAGACTTTGACGAAACTGTTCTGTCATTTTTATGGTCCTAATTTGTGGTGGAATGGATGGCATTGGGTGCAGTATCATAACTCACCAGGTGGTGTCACCAGAGCTGGTGACAATCTGGTTGTCATCCAGGAAGCGACAGCAGGACAGGTAACCTGAAAGAAATCAAACATACTGATTAGATAATTTATAATAGATGGTCTTGTATTATTAAGAGAGTCATGCTTCACTTCCTTACCATCTGCACAGAGGAGAACATTTTATTCCAAATGGTCATCACCCCCACAAAGCTATGTTTGCTTTGTAGGGCATAAAGTGATAAATTCACTACCAGACACAAACGGAGAGGTACAGGGCATCCCCTGGTTCATGACTTACTTTCAAAATTCATTCTTTACTAGCTGGCAAAGTGTATGTACTCCTCCCTGTAGTGAGAGAAATAGAACTAAAATGCTGACACACTTCCTGCATCATGTGACACTGATCAGATGAATACTCCTTGCCTAAGTCAGGGCTCCAGACTAGCATTTGATTTGATTTTTTTTTATTTGATTTATTTAATATTATTATTATTTATGTCAACACACATAATTTTACACATATCCAACAAATGCTAATCCAATATCAATTTGCTTATACCTAGTACATGCTTGAATGGAGTAGGAAGAAGTCAGACTTATCCAGTCCTACCCCATGACATCAT